GTGGCCAGCCATGTGGTCAGTCTCAGCCATCCAGGCTGGCAGGAAAGCCTCCTCCTTCCTCTCACATAAATTGTGCAGCACACAACATCCTGCCACCATGGAAAGGATATTGTGCTTGGCGAGGTCGAGGCAGGTGAGGAGGCACGTAAAGCGTGCTTTCAGTGGGCCGAATGGCCCCTCGACCATGATGTGGGCCCTGGTGAGCCTGGCATTGAAGGCTTGCCGGGAGGGGTTGAGGTGTCCTGTGTAGGGCTTCATGAGCCAGGGCTGTAGAGGGTAGGTCACATCCCCCACCAGGCACACAGACATGTCCATGTCCCCGATCCTGATGTGGCGGTTGGGGAAGGAGGTCCTGGTGTGCAGCCTCTGGCACCCGGAGGAGTTGTAAAACACCCTGGCATCGTGTGCCTTGCCGGACCAGCCCACATTAATGTCCATGAATTGGCCCCAGTGGTCAGACATGGCCTGCAGGATCACAGAGAAGTAACCCTTGCGGTTAATGTAGAGTGAGGCCTGGTGTTCCGGGGCACAGATGGGGATCTGCGTCCCGTCGATCTCCCCCTCCCCCCCTGCAGTTGGGGAAGCTGAGGGCGCCAAACCCCTGGATGACCGCGTCTGGGACGATGAGGCGGACCACGCTGCGGAGCAGCACCCAGTTGATGGCCTTGACCACCTGCAGAGAGAGCCACAAAACTGCGAATCACTGGGGTGCCCGGGTGGCTGGGAGTGTTCATTCCCTGGCACTGCCCCGTGCCCCACTCCCGGAAGCAACCCCCGCTGCGATCCTGGCCATTGCGGGCAGCTTGTAGTACGGCCGGACAGACCGAGCCCTCCCATGCGGGGCACTTTCGCCTCCTCCCCCCCGTTTTCCCTTGGGCGGCCCATCTCCACCGACACAAGCAGGCAGAGAGGGAAATGCTTTGCTGTCCCTCGGTGAGGTAGGCAAGCAAGTGAAAAAGCTGAGAACCGGCTGTCCAGGGGGGTCCCTTTAAGTACGAGCCTCAGATAGCCTCAGACAGCAGCCACACAAAGCAACTACTGACCTGATGCCTTGCTGGAACCAGTTTTAGCTGCCCTTAAATGCGACCCAGTATCCAATCAGTGTGGATGCACTATTTCGAATTAGCAAAACACTAATTCGAATTAGTTTTTGGGTCTAGATGAGTTATTTCGAAATAAGTTAGTTTGAATTAGCACTGTAGTGTAGACATACCCTAAATGAGGTGTCTAGATTTGCACCTGAAAGTCAAATATATATGACCTGTATATGTAACCCACATCCTTCTGGGTGTGCTGTACTGTCCCATCTAGTGGCATCAAGACCATTTGCAAAGAGACTAATGAGTCTGTTTGACAGCCTTAGCAACTATCCTACTGGCTTTTACCTCTTCAGGTAGAGGCTCATGCACTAAGCTGCAGAAGTCTCAAGTTCCGTTCCACCCATAGAGGACTGGGGTGTGCCAGTTTTATACAGAAGTGCCTAAGTACATATGTGGGCACTAGGATTTGCATGTTCTCTGTATAATGGCGACCCAAGTTGAAAATTAGGCAGGATGTGAACACAGATTTGCAAACCATTCCAACAGCTAGATGTATAAGGCCAGATTCCCATTTATGAAAGAACATTAGACTGGTTGGAGAGATGTTGTCCTAATGTAGTACAGAATTCTACCCAAATAATTCCATGTAAGCACTTTTGAAATGGTAGCATATGGCCCTCCAAATGCTGTCTTTAAAAAAATATTTTTAAATAAAATGAGCGCAACCAGGAATTTTAAATTGTTGCTTCTTTTTTATATTCTTATAACTCACATTTATCTCAACAAAGTTATAATATAAAAAAATTAACTTTTGGGTTAAGACTTCTCATGACAAGTTTCATTTTGGAGCTAATTTTAATAGTATCATTAAAAACAAGCACTTTACTATAAATGTCAATTGCTCTTTATTGTTTTTCAGTGTTGTTGCGGCCATGTTGATTCCAAGATATTAGAGGGTATGTCTACACTACCCCGCTAGTTCGAACTAGCAGGGTAATGTATGCATACCGCACTTGCTAATGAAGCCCGGGATTTGAATTTCCCGGGCTTCATTAGCATAAGCGGGGAGCCGCCATTTTTAAATCCCCGCTGCTTCGACCCCCGTGTAGCCGCGCTACACGGGGCTCGAAGCAGCGGGGATTTAAAAATGGCGGCTCCCCGCTTATGCTAATGAAGCCCGGGATTTGAATTTCCCGGGCTTCATTAGCATAAGCGGGGAGCCGCCATTTTTAAATCCCCGCTGCTTCGACCCCCGTGTAGCCGCGCTACACGGGGCTCGAAGCAGCGGGGATTTAAAAATGGCGGCTCCCCGCTTATGCTAATGAAGCCCGGGATTTGAATTTCCCGGGCTTCATTAGCAAGTGCGGTATGCATACATTACCCTCCTAGTTCGAACTAGGAGGGTAGTGTAGACATACCCAGAGAAACTAGATGGGAGAGGTAATAGCTTTTTCTAGACCAACTTTTGTTGGTGAAAGAGACAAGCTTTCAGACTACCTAGAACTCCTTTTCAGTTCAGAACTTTTATTGGTGAAAAAGACAAACTTTTGAGTTATCTAGAGCTCTTCTTCAGACATGAAGAAACCTAGTATCTAGACCAGTAATAAAACAATATAGAATGTATACAATTAATTATGTCTGCTAAATGTGTTATTGATTAATGAGTGTTGGCAAACTTCAGAATGTTTGGAATTTCTATTTGAATAACCATCCAAAAATTCAGATACCACCTCTCTTCTCCCTGGTTTAGCAATCAGGCTAGAAAACTTATAAGAATAGAGTTGGCAATGAGTTTTCTGATATTTCCTGGTTCCCATCAGGCCAGAAATACTTTTGAGGTATTTTGAGACTTCCACTACTTTCTGAAACCAGGAAATACAAAATTAAGCACTAAATAAGTAAATAAATAAATT